TGCTCTTTCTTCTCCTTGTCCTCACTTGTCTTTTTCTTTGCTTTTCAGCATATTACTGTAATGAAGCCATTACTTCTTCAAGTGAATTTTAATGAGTTTTTAAATAACATTTTAATGAGCTATACATTACCATAAAGCATGGATTAGGCTAAATTGAATTTTGTGTGTGTGCGAGCGTGTGTGTGTTTGTGTGTGTTAGTATTGTTAAGGAAAGAGGTTCATTAAGAGTTAATTATATTGTTTCTCAGGAGCCACACCACAGATTTTTCTTGGCCTCAGATTTGCCCACTGTCCTCTTACTGTCATTACTGTGCTGCTCAGGGGCTTGTTAGGCCAAATTAGGGGTCCTGTTTGAAAAATTAGCTTTGATTGGGGCTGCTGTTTAAATAAAGATATTTGTTTCGGCTTATCTACTTAATCAGAGGTCGAAGCTCCATATGAGGCATGAGTGTGATGGAATGCGCTCTCTTCATTTACATTCAGCCCCATCTATTTAGTCCCTTTGTACTCCTCACCACCTCTTCAGTTTGACCTTGATCAGGCATCCTCTCGTTATCCCCTGTTGTTTTCTGTTATGTTCATTCTTTTTTTCTCACCAGGGCACAGGAGCACTGTCTCTTTTATTCCCTCTGAGGCTCTATTAAAGATCCACATTTCATACGGTATCCCCCCAACTATAATATCACTGGCAGCCATATGAGTCTCTTTACTTTCACTATTTTCCATATTCCGCGAATCTTATCTGCGAAAGTGTCAGTGTTATTTACAATCCCTTAGCGCAGGATTTGCAGATAGGGAGAATGGTGGTGATCATATCAGACTTGGCCATGGTCCGTGGAGGATGACTGGGTGTGAATGTATACGGCTTCATCTGCAGAACCTCATCTGCAGTCAGTGCAAAGAGAGAACACTGACAAGTCAGTGAAAGTGAGTGTAGGGGGCAAGATGCAATTCATTGGACAACACTGGGATTGGAAAAAATGATTAACAGAGAACGCAGCAGAGTGACCCCTGATGATGGAGAGAATAAGGCAGACAGAGAGATGGATATTATTTGTGCTAATGATGAGAGTCTCTATCAAGCTCTCAAAGGAGGCACAGCCTTGGGCATGGCCAGACAGTCATATTTTCGCAGCTGTTTCTGTGGTCTGACCTGCAGCCCCTCAGTGGAGGGATATAGGGGATATGTGCGAACCTGCTGTTTGCCTGCCTGCTGAGGGGGTAATTTCTGCATCTGGATGAGGGGCAAAGGTTAGCTCTGGCCAGTGGGAGGGCAAATGAGCGAGTCAAACCTGGAGTATATCTCCTTTCAGTGTGGTATAATATAGTGTGGCATTATCCTTCTCCTGCCTTCAGCATCAACAGCAATACAAAACATCAGTGACAGTACATACAGTAGGTTTGCTTTGTCAAGTGAGATATATATTGTCTATCTTCTCTAAGGGTGGGATTGAAAGTGGTGGCATTGTAAAAGCACTCTACCAGATGAACCGCAAAAACCACTCAAATGAAATGATATTATAGCTTGGAGCTACCTCTCTACAGCTCTCCTAGTTTGTGTGTGCATGGTTTATTTTCTAATCAGAGTGTGGGTGCCGGGGTGTGGCCCCAGGCTTCTAACTGTTGTAATCTCACTGTGCGTTTCTGAGCCCCTGACCCAAGAGAATATCTATGAAAGCACGGAGGGTCTGTTCTACCATTAACGGGGAGGGAAGAGTAATAACAAGCACACAAACATACAAAAATATTCATATTTGCAGTATCACAAAGAGATATGAAAGCCGGCGGCTTTTAAGACTGCTTCACAGTTTGTCAGGGTTGGTGTGTAGTTGTTTGTGTATGTGGGGAGCATCTATCAAGGTGATGTGAATGTCAGAAATAGGTCTCAGACGTCTGTGGTGTTGTGGCAGTGAGCACAACCTTTGTGAACCAAACCGAGGTGCGCTCCTGTAGGTGAATGTTTGTCGGCACTTATCTCGGTATGCAGGCTGGACGCTTCAGTCAAGGCTCCCCACTAATCTTTCTGACAAGCAGTGTCACCCTCCAGTGACTAATATCTTAGGTGGAAGAAGAGGGGGCACTGCACAAAATATTTCCCCTCATGCTGTCCTTGCCCTGCCACCCCTGTGCTACGATGCTCGTTGTGTGAGCTGTCATCTATCTGCGTCCAGCTGATTTTTGTGTGCTGAGTCTATCTTAGCTAAAAACACGCCTGCATATAGACCTTTCTAATGGTTGCTGGCATCGTCCTCTCCTGCCAATGTAGCACAGTCTGGCTTACAAAGTAGCTGTGTGGGTGTCTCCTTTGTGTTTTTGTGTTGGCAAAGACCTCCACTCTCAACCCGTTGGCTGTTTTACAGCACAAGTTGCAACCTGACTCCCTCCCCTTTAAGTTGGAGGTGTTGAAACCGTGCCAGCCGAAAGAGCTGCAAATTTGCCATGCTTTGCCCCCTGCCTGATGCTCTTTCATTCAAATCAACCCACTCCTCTGATATTTAGGAAATAAATAAATAAATAACACACGAGCGGGAAAGGCATATTAATATTTTTCAGACATGGGTTCTTTTTAGCCCGCAGCCAGATCGACAGATGTAGCACTAGTCAACAGAGGGAAGGGAATGTAAAAATATATAAATATTAATAAGCAAGTAAGCGAGCGAGCAGACTTTGTGGCTTCCTGGTACTTCATGGGAGGTGAGGTTTTTCGGCTGAAGAAGAGCTGAATGTTTCAGGGGAAGAGAAAGGTAATTACTTCACGTCTGTTGGCTGATTCAGGCCTGAATGCCTACAGGGCCTCAGAGTTGGAGCAAAAGTTCAGCTTCTGACGGATACATACAGACCCACCAGTCGATGTTAAGGTACTAATATAAAATCATTCCCTCACAGTAGCAAGCATTGTTCCACCCATTGCATTGCCTCTGGGCAAATGAAGCCATGGTAGAGTTACAGGCTGAAATTGTAATAAAGAAGGGCAAATGTTAAACGGAGAGGATGAAAATCTGAGCTGTAGGTGTTTTTTAACTGTAGGCTGATGACCTTGATGACTGCAGTTAGGATTAGATAGTTTACCAAAGTGTATTTGGGTTGGCCCATCCTCTCATTTACTTAGTAAATGTGTCTGGTGAGTATTTTCTTGGTATCAGCAAGCCCCGAACCTGCACACAAAGCATAATCCTCTCGCCAGTGACATGTCTGTTTATTTGCTCCTAGCTGTTTGTAACCTAATGTTTATCCTGCCTGCAACAAGTGCGTGTGTGTATATCTGTTGTTCTTTGTTTGCTGGAGTGTGTGACTACTCTGTTTTTATTTATTTATTTTCCCATTTCTATTCATCGCATATTTATTTAGATTGCAGTGCAGCGATGCATTTACTGTGACGTACTGTGCCGTATTAGATTCGATTAGATAGCGTGGCACAAGCACCGTAATGATGCACCTAATGCGTGTTTCTTTTGTCACTGTTCTGTTTCAAAGGAAATTGATTCTGACAAAATCCCATGGGTGCTATCAGCAATGAATGGAAAGGAGCAATTAAATCCAATGTGATCTTGAAAACAACAGCCTATGTATGGTCCAAACCAGACTATGATTTTAAACAGCGGGGCATCTGTTTGTAATGCAAATACAGAGAGCCCATTGGTGGTGGCTGTTCTAGCCACACTGGTTAGGGGGACCGGCACACTGGAGCTTGCTAATTACCTTAGCTTTTTAGATTAGAGGTCAGCCCTGCATAAGAGAGAGAAAATCTCTATCTCTGCCTACTCTGTATTCTCTCTTATTACCCCTGTGTAAAGGTTTCATTTGAATTCATGTCACACTAAAGTCCCACTCTATACCCCTGTGCATCCCCAGGATAATTGGGTTGAAAGCTTCCTCTATTCCTCCACTCTCCTTCCCCTTGGTCTAAATAAATAAATAAGAAGACAATAGCTTTGTGGCTTTCTGTAGATAGGGTAAGAAAAGTGAATGAAGAGATGAGAGAAGCCTGGAGTGCAGGGACCAGTTATCCCCTCTTATAATCCTGGCGCTCCCTGCCATTGTCCCTTGTGCCACATGGAATTTACATAAGGACCTGTGGTGCTGCCCTTAATTCAGCCCTCCTGAAGTATCTTCAAATATCTCCCAACAAGCTCAGTGCTTTCATCAGCAAGCTTAGTCAGTCATCAGAGGGATCGTGTCCCTGACCGCTGCACTGATAGTTACACTGCTGATACCAAACTTCCTAAAGTGCTACTCCAATTTATTAGATTTATTAAAGCCTGAATAGGGAAAAAATAGTTTCATTTCACACATCAGGGAAGCCCCAGCTATTTTTTGAGTACATTAGGTCTATGTTATTTTCATTCATTCATACGGTAGGTGTGTGTTCTGAATACATCAGTGACTCAGGGTTTAATTTCTCACAGTTAGTTTGGCATGATTGTGCTTTCATGTTTGTACTTCGGTGCTTCTTGGTGTGTTTCACTGTGACAGCGACTCCCCTTGTTTGTTAATGAGCTGCTGTTGTGTGTTTCGCTGAACACTTTAGAGGGGGAGAGGCTATCCCCGCTATGGCGGGCCTACCTGAGGGTGATTAGATGCAAGGCCACAGTTGTTCAATGGACCACCCACTGTTTTTGTGTGTTAGCACATATGTGGCTGTGTGTAAGAGTACATGCCGAAGTGAAGCGCTGTTGCACCCCTGTGAGCTCTCACAAGTGAGTGACACCAGGCTTTAGGGCATTCTGACTCTGTTTGTTCTGCTCCCTCCACAGGGACCTCCATTAGCTCCAATTAGCTTTCACTTGTGCTCTCCCAGTCAGATGAAGCTGTGCATCCCATTTAAATAGCCTAGATAACCAATGCATACACTCACACTATGTTGTGCAATTAACATAATACGCAGAAAGGCAGTTTCAGAATGGTAAGCTGGATTTCATTCAGGCAAATGAAAAATCCAGCCAAACCGTATCTACTAACACTGTACTCTTACTCAACTGGCTGCTCTTTTTTCCCCTCAGTGCTGAGAGATGACTTTCGACAAAACCCTACGGATGTAGTGGTGGCAGCAGGAGAGCCAGCAATCCTTGAGTGTGTCCCTCCCAGAGGGCATCCTGAACCCACCATCTACTGGAAGAAGGACAAAATTCGAATTGACGATAAGGATGACAGGATCACTGTGAGTATCGTAGCTATTTCTTTTAATAACGGGACAAAATAAGAAGAACTATTATCAGTGTCTACCGTGAATGTTGCTAGTAGTGTCTGGGAACACAGGAAAGAGCTTTTGCTTCTGGAAATGTCTGCCACTGAGCACAGTTGGCTGGGCATTCATGTGTTTGAAGCCAGTGAGGGGGAAAAATGCTGCTTTTGTGTTGTCCAATGATTTGACAAGGACAGAATTCAGATGTGTAAAATGTACAAGCTTTTAATTTATGAGTTTTTTAATCTATTTATTTATTCATTTTATTTTTTTAGATTCGAGGAGGGAAACTAATGATCTCCAACACAAGAAAGAGTGATGCAGGCATGTACATCTGTGTGGGCACCAACATGGTCGGCGAAAGGGACAGCGAGACAGCACAAGTCACTGTATTTGGTAAGGCCTCCTGAAATTTATCTTCTCAGTTATTTGGTAGAGTGACATCCATCCATGTTACTGTATACTCCTGAAAAGAAATACATTGAAGCCAAGTTTTCTCAAAGCTTAATAACAGTGTTTCTTTTGCTACACTCTCCCATCTGAGTTGCATGCAATCTGGTGCACATTTTTGTGTTGCTCATTAAACTGTCATGAGGTTATAAAGAGCCAGAGTGAACGGTAATAAATAGGTTAGTTCAATAAACGCCAGTTCTTATATTTCCAATAAAGTTACAGGTCCATTTAGTGCACTATTGCTGTATATTTGTGCCTCACGGAGGAACAGAAATATCAGATAATGAACAAAATATGAGTAATTAGAGGGATAATTATATAGGAACTGGGCAATGTGAGAAATAAAGCAAAGCCAAATCCTAACATAATGAAATTGTGCTTTTTTTTTTGTGCCCATGCTGCAGAGAGACCAACCTTCCTCCGGAGGCCAATCAACCAGGTGGTCCTGGAAGAGGAAACGGTAGAGTTCCGCTGCCAGGTGCAAGGAGACCCCCAACCCAATGTACGCTGGAGGAAAGATGACATTGATGTTCCTCGTGGGAGGTATGTACTTTTACCGGAATATTCTCCAAATGGCAGCGCTTTAAGTAATGAGATGAATATAAGCAAGCAGTTTAAATTGCATGTGTGTGTGTGTCTGTCTGTCTAAATGCCAGCTTATGTGTTAAGTTCTAATGTGACAGACTGCACTTGCTGCAAAGGCACTAGTGTCAGTCTAAGTGATTGTTTCAAACTAATGATAACTCACACTGCCAGCTCTCACCTGGTGTGGCTGCCAGGGAGCAATAAATACCCCTATTAGGCTGTACACAATGCACATTAACCATTCTGAGGAAAAAAAAACATTCTACCTGTCGATGCCAAAAAAGTCAGGCAGTGTCTCATGTCATGGACGAGGTCTGCATGAAGACAAACAGATACGGAGCTAAACAATTAAATCTGACTGACAGGTAAGTGGGCACGGGAGGCTGAAATGTAGACATTTAGAGAAGCAGAAAAAAAATCTGCCAGGTTGTGTAACAGACAGGTAGAAACCGATAGAATGACAGGAGATACAAAGAGACAGAGTATAGCAGCTGACGTGACCCTCAAGTGTCTATGTACAGGTGCAGCTGTTCAGGGGAATTCTTGGCATAGACACCAGAAACCTGGAAGATAATCATTACCTCCTATACACGTTTAACCCCGTTCAGTTTGTGTATCATCACAGACATGATGCACACGTTTACTCACACTTGCAGAAATAGAAACCAATGTAAGGAAAAAGCAATAAAAGTCTACAATTTGGAGAGAAACTCTAGCACCACTGCCAACTTTAGGCTATCTGACTTCCTGTAAAAAGCCACTGACGATATAGTGATACTGTTCGTTCTGGGTCCTGCGTGTTGGCCTGTTTCTTCCCATGAGTCACTTGACTTACAGTCAAAAGCAGTGTCATTGTTAGAAGTGGACTTCAAAGAAACCGGTATACTGTCCCCAGCCAGCAGGCAAGTCACACACTGCTTGGATCACCTCATAACACGTACACACAGTGGACCTGTCTTCTCTCAAGGCTAGCTGCAGAGCTGAGCGTAGGCGGGTTGTTTGTGTCTGATAAGGATTTGGTTCACTGGGCAGTGGGACATGAGCTCTGTGCCAAAGCAAACACATAAAAGTATTTCACTCATGTCTTTGATAGGGAGTTGGCTCTGGAAATGAGTTCATTTTGTACACTAATTAACAGATTTATAACGGAGTAGGATGAGTGTCATGTGCCTGCGTCCTTGCTAACTGTTCCATCCCTTTGAAGTTTGGCCTTATTTGGATACGATGCACATGAAAAAGATAATGCCAAAATTAATAAGAGATAAATATTGCAGTGTTACTAATTACAATATGTGAACGGTTGTTTTTTCTTGCTATATTTAATTCTCCCAGTTTTGCTTTGAAGCAGAAAAACAACCGTGAAGACAGACGATATTTTAATTCTGACATTTTCTTCTGCCTTTGTTGCCTGCCAAAAAGAAGACTGCATTGTATATTGTTAAGTGACGATCTGTTCCTGCTTTCTCTGCTGCTTATCTTCACTTAATAAACATCAAACAGAACTCCTTTTATTCTAATTAACAGAAGAGTGGTTAACATTCTCACTCAGGACTAGTGCCTAGTTTGCCTTTGGGCCACTCCAGCTGTATCGGTATGGGTTTCCATCACAGGAATGTAGATGACTAAGGATCAAGTAGTTCTATATGCAGTGGGAAGTGGTCTTTGATTGCTCTTTAACCGAAAAGGTTACAGTGTCCTTATTATTATGATAAGCTGTAGAAAGAGGGAGACTTAGCAAGGCCCGTCCTCTTTACCATTAAATTGTTTTAACTTTGCTGGTCCCTTTATGTACCTGCATCTCTATGTGGATGTCTCTGTGTGCTACTTTTATACTGGGAAGAAGGGAAATGGAGCTTCAGCTGAGTAAACAGGTTGTTAATATGCTCAGTGGCTCCAGCAGCCTCCCAGGCAGCCACACACACACACACACACACACACACATTGGCACATAGACATAAAGCATGCCAGGATGGCGCTGGCTTCGGTCTCTCTGTGGGATAGAAAAGAAGATAGAGACAGAATGGTTTCAATTAGAGGACAAAGACAAATGTGATGCTCGTTTACCACTGTTTGGGTATTTTACTGTGTTTGCAATAGAAAAATAAATAATTAATCACCAAACAGCTACATCTACTCTGGGATACTAGTCAACAGCCCTTGATAGTGCAGTGTAATGAAATAGGTCAACTTTTCTGTTGTCGTGTCATTATACAGTATGATACTGAAACCCTTGCAATCTCCAAGTGAAACCTTTTAATTTACAGTCTGGCATATGTCAGAGGAAATAGCCTGAAACTGTAAATTTAAAGGTCAGAGGACAACAGCTGCAGTATAATGATAAAGAATCCAGATATTCCTTTTTCTTTTAACATTTACACTGAGTCTTGATCTTATTCTAAGTAAGATGAGAATTAGGTACATTTATACACTTGCTATCTTTGGACTATTTTTTATTTTTTTCCCGGAAAGTCCAGCTCAGATAGAACTGATATTCCTGATGAACACACAGTTGCACCAATCCTTCTCTGCTGAATCCCAGAGAACCATGATCTGTAAGATGATAGAGTTAAATACATTACATGTGTTTACCACACATTAAATTACTTATAGGATGGTCACTTTATCCAAACAAAAAGACCAAAACAATAAGCTATAGCTAAAATGAGATCAGCCCATCTTTCTCTAGTTATGTTTTTCCTTTTGTTCTTTATCATCTGGGCTCCCAGATAGGAGTGGATTTTGCTGTCAGGTCAGAAAAAAAGAAACACTTCCACTTCCTCTATTGTTACACAGAAATTCAAACAGTGTGCTGAACTAATTAAACTAAATTTCAAGGTCTCTCTTAGGACAAGACCTAAATTATGAGCAAACCATTAGGTTTGCTGAAAAACAGTGGATAATGGGGACTTTAATTATTACCAGCATAGGCGAAGAAAATTCACTTAGATGTGCTCCAGGTGGGATTAAAACCACTGACCAGTACATGTAATATTACAATTATCCAACTTCCTCTTTTTAAATGTGTTTCAAATTGAACTTTTTTTTTCTTTTCGTCAACACAAAGCATTTAAGATTCAGCTCAGATGGAAAAGCAGCATGTCCTCTCCAGGAAAAACCTCTTGCAGATGTCTTCAAGCAGCTGGATTTCTGCGCCTAAAATCCACACAGTAGTAGAGTCACCCATAATTTGTCAGAACTGACATAATTCTTATACATTTGTTTACGCTTAAGCAGTTCTTTCCAATTATAAAAATGTCTTGATGTGGATTAAATTAGTATCAGATTAATGTCCATCAGTTGGACGTTGTGGAGGAATCGTGCCAAAAGCACACAATAGCTTCTCCCACATCAGAGAGCCTGGAAATGAGTGCTGGCGAGCTTCATTTTTCAAAACAGAAAGGATTCTATTCTAGCGCAGTCTATGAACCCCAGTGAAAAGACTTGGGCAGTGTGTATTATCTCCCGCTGCCTACTAGCAAAGTGTGTGGCCCATGTCTTTCCCTCCTTCGGTATAGCTCTCGCTCTTCATTTGCTTTGGAACCTTGTACCCTCTCCTGTGCCTTATCAGAGCCCCTTTGGTCCTGCAATCCATCTGTATTCAAGGCACCTTTCCCTGTTGACCTCCACAGCACAGCCCCTGCAACATTCAGCAGAAAAGCCTTTCTTTCTGACTCAATTCCTTCGTGGTGTGTTCATGTGTGGGGGTTCGTGTATGATAGAGATGTGTGGGTCATTCTTTTTGAGAGAGCTGTTAAAGCTAGTGTGACAGGAGTGCCTGTGTTATGCTGACCACCCAATTTCAGTGATTTCTCACCTCTGCAACTCAGCAGAATGAAAAGATGACAAGCTATGGTTCCTGTCTCCATTACTTGCCTTGATATATAAGTGGATACATCTAGTATTTATGAGTGGGTCTGTAAGGGGGTGGGTGAATGAAATATTATTCATTTGTTCAGGTGTATTTTCTTTAGGATTTCTTAACAGTAACTGTGTCACCAACTAAGCAAGCTAAATAGATAACTGACTAATAGTTTGTAACAAGAATATGACATTGTTATGCATTATTAAGAACATCTACTGGTAAGCGACCATAAATATGCCATCATATATCAAAAAAGGCTTCCAGGCATTGGTTAGCAAGGTCCAGTTTTATGTTTTTTCCATTAAAGCCATAGTGCCTGCTTTAAATAAAGCTTGAACTGCTTGCTAAGGCAATGGGGAGAAGAACTATTCGAAAAAACATAATAATGGTAAAAGGGTAATTTTTTCCCCACTAAACTGCCAACCTAATCATAAATTTTGGAATCTTGCTTAACCGTTGTGTGATTAAAGTTGGACACAGTGATGAATGTTAGTTGGACTGTTGTGAAGGCCCTTATCCTGCTAACACAAGAGGTGTGCCAGGGACCAAGGATTGGAGCTCTGGCTCAGGGCCTTAGTGAAGCAAGATGAGAAGCAATAGTGGTTAATTGATTCCCTCTTATGGGTGACGAGGCTTGGACAGGTATACTCCGGTTGCTTTGATCAGCATGAGGTAAAGTAGCAGTCAGATGGTGTAAAACTGGATCAGACTGTCAGAGCGAAATGGAGCAGAGAGGAGACTGTGTGTTAGAGCAGTGAGGCCAGAGAGCAAGCTGGAATTAGTCCTTTACTGTTTCTGGAGTCTGACTCATGTGCTTAGAGTTGGCACACAACCCCTCTCCCTCCTCACAGTTCCATTCACATGCACTCGCAGAGGCGAGGCAGATAAGATCCTCTCCTGTTGAATCATTTTGTAGACACACTCATCCAGTCATACATACAACCAAGATAAGATTCTCTTAATGTGAGTGAATTGGCACAAGACTGAGGGTCGAACATGGGTGACTGTGTTCGTGACAGACAGTTTAAAGGCAAATCCTCTAAGATGATCTGGAGGATTTTTGAGCCGTAATCCTTTTAAATTATGTCCAGTAAAG